GTCTCCAGCAACACACTGGCAGGGGTCTCCAGCAACACACTGGCAGGGGTCTCCAGCAACACACTGGCAGGGGTCTACAGCAACACACTGGCAGGGGTCTCCAGCAACACACTGGCAGGGGTCTCCAGCAACACACTGGCAGGGGTCTCCAGCAACACACTGGCAGGGGTCTCCAGCAACACACTGGCAGGGGTCTCCAGCAACACACTGGCAGGGGTCTACAGCAACACACTGGCAGGGGTCTCCAGCAACACACTGGCAGGGGTCTACAGCAACACACTGGCAGGGGTCTCCAGCAACACACTGGCAGGGGTCTACAGCAACACACTGGCAGGGGTCTACAGCAACACACTGGCAGGGGTCTCCAGCAACACACTGGCAGGGGTCTCCAGCAACACACTGGCAGGGGTCTCCAGCAACACACTGGCAGGGGTCTCCAGCAACACACTGGCAGGGGTCTCCAGCAACACACTGGCAGGGGTCTCCAGCAACACACTGGCAGGGGTCTCCAGCAACACACTGGCAGGGGTCTCCAGCAACACACTGGCAGGGGTCTCCAGCAACACACTGGCAGGGGTCTCCAGCAACACACTGGCAGGGGTCTCCAGCAACACACTGGCAGGGGTCTCCAGCAACACACTGGCAGGGGTCTCCAGCAACACACTGGCAGGGGTCTCCAGCAACACACTGGCAGGGGTCTCCAGCAACACACTGGCAGGGGTCTCCAGCAACACACTGGCAGGGGTCTCCAGCAACACACTGGCAGGGGTCTCCAGCAACACACTGGCAGGGGTCTCCAGCAACACACTGGCAGGGGTCTCCAGCAACACACTGGCAGGGGTCTCCAGCAACACACTGGCAGGGGTCTCCAGCAACACACTGGCAGGGGTCTCCAGCAACACACTGGCAGGGGTCTCCAGCAACACACTGGCAGGGGTCTCCAGCAACACACTGGCAGGGGTCTCCAGCAACACACTGGCAGGGGTCTCCAGCAACACACTGGCAGGGGTCTCCAGCAACACACTGGCAGGGGTCTCCAGCAACACACTGGCAGGGGTCTCCAGCAACACACTGGCAGGGGTCTCCAGCAACACACTGGCAGGGGTCTCCAGCAACACACTGGCAGGGGTCTCCAGCAACACACTGGCAGGGGTCTCCAGCAACACACTGGCAGGGGTCTCCAGCAACACACTGGCAGGGGTCTGGCCAGCAACACACTGGCAGGGGCAACACACTGGCAGTGGTCTCCAGCAACACACTGGCAGGGGTCTCCAGCAACACACTGGCAGGAGTCTCCAGCAACACACTGGTTGGGGTCTACAGCAACACACTAGCAGGAGTCTCCAGCAACACACTAGCAGGTTTCCAGCAACACACTGGCAGGTGACTCCAGCAACACACTGACAGGGGTCTCCAGCAACACGCAGGCAGGGGTCTCCAGCAACACACTGGCAGGGGTCTCCAGCAACACACTGGCAGGGGTCTCCAGCAACACACTGGCAGGGGTCTCCAGCAACACACTGGCAGGGGTCTCCAGCAACACACTGGCAGGGGTCTACAGCAACACACTGGCAGGGGTCTCCAGCAACACACTGGCAGGGGTCTCCAGCAACACACTGGCAGGGGTCTCCAGCAACACACTGGCAGGGGTCTCCAGCAACACACTGGCAGGGGTCTCCAGCAACACACTGGCAGGGGTCTACAGCAACACACTGGCAGGGGTCTACAGCAACACACTGGCAGGGGTCTCCAGCAACACACTGGCAGAGGTCTACAGCAACACACTGGCAGGGGTCTACAGCAACACACTGGGAGGAGTCTCCAGCAACACACTGGCAGAGGTCTACAGCAACACACTGGCAGGGGTCTCCAGCAACACACTGGCAGGGGTCTCCAGCAACACACTGGCAGGGGTCTCCAGCAACACACTGGCAGGGGTCTCCAGCAACACACTGGCAGGGGTCTACAGCAACACACTGGCAGGGGTCTCCAGCAACACACTGGCAGGGGTCTCCAGCAACACACTGGCAGGGGTCTCCAGCAACACACTGGCAGGGGTCTCCAGCAACACACTGGCAGGAGTCTCCAGCAACACACTGGCAGGGGTCTCCAGCAACACACTGGCAGGGGTCTCCAGCAACACACTGGCAGGGGTCTCCAGCAACACACTGGCAGGGGTCTCCAGCAACACACTGGCAGGGGTCTCCAGCAACACACTGGCAGGGGTCTCCAGCAACACACTGGCAGGGGTCTCCAGCAACACACTGGCAGGGGTCTCCAGCAACACACTGGCAGGGGTCTCCAGCAACACACTGGCAGGGGTCTCCAGCAACACACTGGCAGGGGTCTCCAGCAACACACTGGCAGGGGTCTCCAGCAACACACTGGCAGGGGTCTCCAGCAACACACTGGCAGGGGTCTCCAGCAACACACTGGCAGGGGTCTCCAGCAACACACTGGCAGGGGTCTCCAGCAACACACTGGCAGGGGTCTCCAGCAACACACTGGCAGGGGTCTCCAGCAACACACTGGCAGGGGTCTCCAGCAACACACTGGCAGGGGTCTCCAGCAACACACTGGCAGGGGTCTCCAGCAACACACTGGCAGGGGTCTCCAGCAACACACTGGCAGGGGTCTCCAGCAACACACTGGCAGGGGTCTCCAGCAACACACTGGCAGGGGTCTCCAGCAACACACTGGCAGGGGTCTCCAGCAACACACTGGCAGGGGTCTCCAGCAACACACTGGCAGGGGTCTACAGCAACACACTGGCAGGGGTCTACAGCAACACACTGGCAGGGGTCTCCAGCAACACACTGGCAGGGGTCTCCAGCAACACACTGGCAGGGGTCTCCAGCAACACACTGGCAGGGGTCTCCAGCAACACACTGGCAGAGGTCTCCAGCAACACACTGGCAGGGGTCTCCAGCAACACACTGGCAGGGGTCTCCAGCAACACACTGGCAGGGGTCTACAGCAACACACTGGCAGGGGTCTCCAGCAACACACTGGCAGGGGTCTCCAGCAACACACTGGCAGGGGTCTCCAGCAACACACTGGCAGGGGTCTCCAGCAACACACTGGAAGGGGCTCCAGCAGCACACTGGCAGGGGTCTCCAGCAACACACTGGCAGGGGTCTCCAGCAACACACTGGCAGGGGTCTCCAGCAACACACTGGCAGAAACTTGGCCATCCCGAGATAACGTCGACCCAATTACCAATACTTCACTAAGTATCACAAATATCAGTCTACACAGACTCGGCCCACTTGATCCCACTGGAACACGTCTTGAGTTGATAACTGCCCTGAGTGAACTGATTCTTGTCGACCAATATAACAACTAACATCACTACTGAGGAGTAAAATGTGATTAGTTAGAAAGAAACTACACAGTGGTCAATAAAATCACAGCTTGGAGTAGTTTCCTTAGAATGTTTTCTGGTATGTCAAGAGGAGCACAGGCCGGATCACGATACACTCTGTCCGCTATCATCCCGATTGTTTCATCCACTCCACACTGCAGTCTACACTAAGGAAACAAACATAGGAATGTGCCTAAATGCCAACAGCGACTGCCCTGACAGGTACAAGAGGAATGTCGTTAACGCTTATGTCGACCGTGTTCTCAGCCACAGCTCAGGATGGAAGCAAGTCGATGAAGAACTCTGTAGGGTAAGGCAGGTCCTAGTCAACAACGGCTTCTCCAATGGTTTCGTTGAAGACATCATAAGAAGGAAGGTGAAACGCCATGCAACCTCTGAATTGACAATTAACACAACACCTATACCCCCTTATTAGACTATTTTACAGGAACTTCTTTTCCACAGCTCATAAAACGGAGGAAAGGGTCCTGAAAGATATTGTTAATAGAAACGTTATCCCTACAGACAAAAATCAGAAGATACAACTGACGATTTACTATAAAACCAAGAAAATGGCCAGCCTACTCATGAGAAACTCTCCAGACACAAAGCAGAACGCTTTAAAAGAGACCAATGTCGTCTATGCCTTCAAATGCCCAATTGGGGACTGTAAGCCTCAAAGAACTCAGTATATAGGCAAGACAACAACATCTCTTTCCAGGCGATTAACGATGCATAAGCAACAGGGCTCCATTAAGGAACATAAAATCTCTTCCCACAACCAGACCATCACCAGAGAAGTCTTAACAAAAAACAAGGAAATCATCGATAGATACAGCGATAGCAGGCGGCTTGATATCTGCGAGGCACTACACATTAAGAAGTCAACACCAGCAATCAACAGCCAATTAATGCACAACTATATTCTACCCACCTCAAGACTCCGCTCCAATATAGAAGCATCAAGAAATATGGGCCAATAGGCCCTTTGCAGTTACTTCAATTCTTTCCTTTAACTTACCCAATATTATACCCATTGTTTCGTGTTCTGTCGTGTGTTGAAAGTTTGTTTTCACCTCATCCAAAACTGTTGTAACATATCACCTCACCCAAATGCATATATATATATATATATATATATATATATATATATATATATATATATGTTTATGTTTAGCATGTTTAGGGATATAAAGAGGGGGTGCTAATGTTGCCTGAAAGCAGCTTGTTCTGTAAATGAACAAATCCACAAGGGCCGTGACGAGGATTCGAACCTGCGAACCAGTGTAGCAGCTTGTTATGTGGTTTCATCCTGGGCGGGGTCAGTAATTCGACACTGGGAGGAGGAGACTTCGATAAAAGCCTAACGTGTATGAATATAGTCTGGCTTCCTGTCCCCCGCCACAGTGTATTATAAATAAATTATTATTATAGTGTTGATAAAAACACAATGTTCTTAAGTTTACGTCAAATAATAATTTAGAAAATGGAATAAAAACAACTATCACAGAAAACGTTCCCACCGAAAATATTTTATAGGACTAACTAAAACACGTTTCCTCCACAGCAGCAAACCCCAATTCTTGATTACAGAAACTGTGATAATTGTGCTGATATTTAACCAGAAAGGAACAATATGAGGCGTAAGAACTGTGACGGAGGTGTGTTCCTGATGTTGCTGGTGGTGGAGTCAGTGTTCCTGGTGATGGTGCTCCAGCGGCTGGCCTACCTCGAGGATCAGTGTGGGAACGACACCGGACCTGACGCCAGGAGGGACGCCACACAACTTGGTGAGTATTATTGTCTCGTCTCTACAAATATCTTCCATACATGTTCGCAAATGACTTAATTTTACTTCAACAAATGCAGAAGAATAAGTCTTAATGGAATCTGATATTGCGTTCATGGCGTCAGCAAAGGTGATCAACATACAGATTGGTGGAAAGAGTATTGATCAGCTGTTTTAGTGCTGTTCTGTTGCTCCCACAGCCTGACTCACGAGGGTGTTATTAACACTGTGCTCCTCCCACAGCCTGACTCACGAGGGTGTTATTAACACTGTGCTCCTCCCACAGCCTGACTCACGAGGGTGTTATTAACACTGTGCTCCTCCCACAGCCTGACTCACGAGGGTGTTATTAACACTGTGCTCCTCCCACAGCCTGACTCACGAGGGTATTATTAACACTGTGCTCCTCCCACAGCCTGACTCACGAGGGTGTTATTAACACTGTGCTCCTCCCACAGCCTGACTCACGAGGGTGTTATTAACACTGTGCTCCTCCCACAGCCTGACTCACGAGGGTGTTATTAACACTGTGCTCCTCCCACAGCCTGACTCACGAGGGTGTTATTAACACTGTGCTCCTCCCACAGCCTGACTCACGAGGGTGTTATTAACACTGTGCTCCTCCCACAGCCTGACTCACGAGGGTGTTATTAACACTGTGCTCCTCCCCTGACTCACGAGGGTGTTATTAACACTGTGCTCCTCCCACAGCCTGACTCACGAGGGTGTTATTAACACTGTGCTCCTCCCACAGCCTGACTCACGAGGGTGTTATTAACACTGTGCTCCTCCCACAGCCTGACTCACGAGGGTGTTATTAACACTGTGCTCCTCCCACAGCCTGACTCACGAGGGTGTTATTAACACTGTGCTCCTCCCACAGCCTGACTCACGAGGGTGTTATTAACACTGTGCTCCTCCCACAGCCTGACTCACGAGGGTGTTATTAACACTGTGCTCCTCCCACAGCCTGACTCACGAGGGTGTTATTAACACTGTGCTCCTCCCACAGCCGAGCCAACGATCTACGTCATCACTCCCACGTACCGTCGCAGTACACAGCTGGCTGATATGACCAGGATGGCCCAAACACTTATGCACATCCCCAACCTTCATTGGATAGTGGTGGAGGACGCTGAGGTGAGTGATCTGGCCCCCAGCCACCTTCACCTATACCAGCCGCATCCACCCGCACCAGCCACATCCACCTGCACCAGGCACATCCACCTGCATCAGCCACATCCACCTGCATCAGCCACATCCTCCTGCATCAGCCACATCCTCCTGTACCAGACACCTTCACCTGCACCAGCCACATCCACCTGCACCAGGCACATCCACCTGCATCAGCCACATCCTCCTGTACCAGACACCTTCACCTGCAACAGCCACATCCACCTGCACCAGCCACATCCACCTGAACCAGCCACATCCACCTGAACCAGCCACATCCTCCTGCACCAGCCAAATCCACTTGCACCAGCCACATCCTCCTGCACCAGCCACACCCTCCTGCACCAGCCACACCCTCCTGCACCAGACACCTTCACCTGCACCAGCCACATCCACCTGCATCAGCCACATTCCCCTGCACCAGCCACATCCACCTGCATCAGTCACATCCCCCTGCACCAGCCACATCCTCCTGCACCAGCCACATCCTCCTGCACCAGCCACATCCACCATCACCAGCCACATCCATCTACACCAGCCACATCCCCCTGCACCAGCCACATCCTCCTGCACCAGCCACATCCACCTGCACCAGTCACATCCCCCTGCACCAGCCACATCCTCCTGCACCAGCCACATCCTCCTGCACCAGCCACATCCACCTGCACCAACCACATCCACCTGCACCAACCACATCCTCCTGCATCAGCCACATCCTCCTGCACCAGCCACATCCTCCTGCATCAGCCACATCCACCTGCACCAACCACATCCTCCTGCATCAGCCACATCCTCCTGCACCAGCCACATCCTCCTGCACCAGCCACATCCACCTGCACCAACCACATCCTCCTGCATCAGCCACATCCTCCTGCACCAGCCACATCCCCCTGCACCAGCCACATCCTCCTGTATCAGCCACATCCTCCTGCACCAGCAACATCCTCCTGCATCAGCCACATCCTCCTGCACCAGCCACATCCACCTGCACCAGTCACATCCCCCTGCACCAGCCACATCCTCCTGCACCAGCCACATCCACCTGCACCAGCCACATCCATCTACACCAGCCACATCCCCCTGCACCAGCCACATCCTCCTGCACCAGCCACATCCACCTACACCATCCACATTCACTTGCACCAGCCACATCCACCTGCACCAACCACATCCACCTGCACCAACCACATCCACCTGCACCAGCCACTTCCACCTACACCAGCCACATCCTCCTGCATCAGCCACATCCACCTGCACCAACCACATCCCCGTGCACCAGCCACATCCTTCTGCACCAGCCACATCCTCCTGCACCAGCCACATCCACCTGCACCAACCACATCCACATGCACCAGCCACTTCCACCTGCACCAGCCACATCTACCTGCACCAGCCACATCCATCTGCTCCAGCCACATCCACCTGCACCAGCCACATCCTTCTGCATCAGCCACATCCACCTGCTCCAGCCACATCTACCTGTACCAGCCACATCCTCCTGCACCAGCCACATCCACCTGCACCAGCCACATCCTCCTGCACCAGCCACATCCTCCTGCACCAGCCACATCCACCTGCACCAGCCACATCCTCCTGCACCAGCCACATCCACTTGCTCCAGCCACATCTACCTGTACCAGCCACATCCTCCTGCACCAGCCACATCCACCTGCACCAACCACATCCACCTGCACCAGCCACTTCCACCTGCACCAGCCACATCTACCTGCACCAGCCACATCCATCTGCTCCAGCCACATCCACCTGCACCAGCCACATCCTTCTGCATCAGCCACATCCACCTGCTCCAGCCACATCTACCTGTACCAGCCACATCCTCCTGCACCAGCCACATCCTCCTGCACCAGCCACATCCTCCTGCACCAGTCACATCCTCCTGCACCAGCCACATCCTCCTGCACCAGTCACATCCTCCTGCACCAGCCACATCCTCCTGCACCAGTCACATCCTCCTGCACCAGCCACATCCACCTGCTCCAGCCACATCCCCCTATACCAGCCACATCCCCCTACACCAGCCACATCCACCTGCATCAGCCACATCCACCTACCCTATCCACACTCACCTACCCCAGCCACCCACCTACACCATTCACATACAACAAGCTTGGCTCGCCACATCATGAATCAACCACGCCCACCACCCCACTACTTCTGCAGTCTAAGAAATCCTATGAACAATGCATGACTAATTTAACAAATAATGCATATCTGGAGAAGGGCCCCACCGTGCCCACCAGTCCTGCCCGGGAGACACCGTGGGCATGACGAAGTCATCAGGTAGTGGAGAGAGGCTGCTGCTGGCTCAGGACAAGAATGCCCAACAACCTCTGGGGTACATATCATCCCTCGGATGGTTCCGGGAAGGTCTGAAGACAGTTTAGATGACCTTGTTTCGGTCCGGAAGCATTTTCTGGCAGCCTTTGCTGTCTGTTATCATCCCCGAGATCGTCTTAACCCTTGGTTCGCTTAGTTTCCGGCAGTCGCTTTTTTTTTCATTTTCTTGGAACGTTCCCATTTCTTGGATATTTTTCCGTTCTTGGATATTTTTCATTTCCTGGATATTTTCCCTTTGTATATTTCATGTGGTTTGATACGCTTCGTGCTTCATCCGGCCTGCTAGACTTCGTCAGTTACACACAGTCAACCTAGTCCTCGGGTCATATCACAGGCTGTGCTTCCAGACCGGACGCAAACTGTTCGCCTTAGGGGAAATAAACTTTCGGAAGTCGATGCAGCATCAGTAGTGTGACCACGGATGTGTCGACACCCCGCACCGCTGCCTGAGAGCGGGCGGGGCTCTCCGCTCTGCTTTCTGGCTACATTTCATTCCTCGCCTGTGATGAGTTTTAGAAGTAATGAAGCTACGCTACGTGAATATCTTAAGCAAGCTGGGGGTGAGCGGGAGTGGGAGAGCTCTTACGATAACGAAACTGTCGTCATTATCTTACTGTGTGGGGTACACGGCGCTGTTTGGGTGGGGAATAGGAGTTATAGACCTTTACTACAAACACGATCTCAGTCATTACTACGTCAATACTATACACGAATTTAATTACAACATTTACACATCTCTGGCTGCATTTTCCGTGCCTTCTCTCTCTCTCTCTCTCTCTCTCTCTCTCTCTCTCTCTCTCTCTCTCTCTCTCTCTCTCTCTCTCTCTCTCTCTCTCTCTCTCTCTCTCTCTCTCTCTCTCTCATATTATTATATTATTATTATTATTATTATTATATATATATATATATATATATATATATATATATATATAGATAGAGAGAGAGAGAGAGAGAGAGAGAGAGAGAGAGAGAGAGAGAGAGAGAGAGAGAGAGAGAGAGAGAGAGAGAGAGAGAGAGAGAGAGAGAGAGAGAGAGAGAGAGAGAGAGAGAGAGAGATAGCCGGCTTGATCGGCTTGTCAATTTATCCCAATGATTTTTTTAAGCTGGATTTCAAAATTCAGCAGTATTTTGGCATTTACGGCTTCGGCGAGTAGGCTGTTCCAAGGGTTTATAACCCTGTGAGTGTAGAAGCATCTCGTGTTTTCAGTCCTTCATTGTGGCTTGTTGAGCTTGAAACCGTTGCTCCTTGTTTATGTTACATCTGACCTTTTGAAGACGTTGTCTGGATCGATACCCTGCAAATTGTTAGGTATTGTAAAAGATTCGATTAGATCCGCCCTGTCATGCCTGGTGTGTATTGTTAGTTCTGTGGCCCTCAATCGTTCCTGGTATGAGAGTCGACCTAGTTCAGGTGTTTCCCGTTGTTGGACTTTCTTCGAAGCAGCTGTGTCCTTCTGAAGATGAGGTCTCCATGCTTCGGAAACAATAATCCAAGTGTAGGCGCACCAGAGATCTATAGTTGAATAACTTCCTGCTTTTCCTTATGGCCAGAGGTTCCCTTGATTACTGCTTTGTTGCATTTGTTTTACAACTTTCAGTGAATGATGGATTCTGACTCCAAGGTCCTTTTCTTCGTCAATCTGCTGCAAGGTAATGTTAATTGGCTAGTTGAGACACGAGTTGTTATGCCCGACATACAAGATCTTGCATTTTTCGATATTACAAAGCCCTTGCCAGTGTTCTGACCATTTGTGGAGTTCATATAAATCTTTTTGTAAGGCCTCAATATCATTTTCACTTCCTACTTTAGCATAAATCTTTGAGTCGTCTGCATTAATCGTCTTTGTCATTGATGTATATGAAAAAAAAGGGTTGTCCCCAAAATGAACCCCTGTGGCACCCCTCTCACCACATGAACCCCTGTGGCACCCCTCTCACCACATGAACCCCTGTGGCACCCCTCTCACCACATGAACCCCTGTGGCACCCCTCTCACCACATGAACCCCTGTGGCACCCCTCTCACCACATGAACCCCTGTGGCACCCCTCTCACCACATGAACCCCTGTGGCACCCCTCTCACCACATGAACCCCTGTGGCACCCCTCTCACCACATTTCTCCAGTCAGATTCATTCCCATTTAGCACGACTCGTTGTTTTCTTTGTTTTAACCATTGTTTTATTCATTCTAGTATTCTGCCATTTATTTCACGTGCCTGTAATTTCCTTGCTAGTCCTTATAGGGTAACTTGTCAAAAGCTTTAGCAAAGTATAACAATAATAATAATAATAATAATAATAATAATAATAATAATAATAATAATAATAATAATAATATTAATAATTTATTTAGCAACAGTACATACATAGTTGCAGCGTTACAGTACAAACATTCTGTTAGATTTAAAGATAGAGGTAGTACATTACAATACCTAAAGCCACTAGTACGCATAGCGTTTCGGACAAGTAAAGTATACTACATCTACCGGACGTCCTTTGTTTGAGTAGCTGGTGACCGTTTCCAAAAATATGAGCAGGTTTGTAAGGCCTCTGGATCTTTTTTTTTTTTTTCAGCAAACCCATGTTGCGTTGAGTTTACAAGAATGTTCACTGCGCTACGGAGTTTACAAGAATGTTCACTGCGCTACGGAGTTTACAAGAATGTTCACTGCGCTACGGAGTTTACAAGAATGTTCACTGCGCTACGGAGTTTACAAGAATGTTCACTGCGCTACGGAGTTTACAAGAATGTTCATTGCGCTACGGAGTTTACAAGAATGTTCACTGCGCTACGGAGTTTACAAGAATGTTCACTGCGCTACGGAGTTTACAAGAATGTTCATTGCGCTACGGAGTTTACAAGAATGTTCACTGCGCTACGGAGTTTACAAGAATGTTCACTGCGCTACGGAGTTTACAAGAATGTTCACTGCGCTACGGTGAATGATGCCCTCCCATGGGACACTTTCCGTGAGCTTGCAGATGTGTGAGGTTTTTAGTTTTTAGTTTAGTTCATTTATTATGCACCCCATACCCCATCTTGTGGGCGGTAGTCCAAGCTGATCGGACGATAGTTTTCTGCCGAGCTCTTTCTGCCTTTGTTGAAAATAGGGGAAATTTGCATATTTCCATTCTAGGGGGAACTATTCCTTGATCTAAAGATTTTCCGATGAAAATCTTTATGTGTTGACAATGATAACACATTGGAGAGGCTGAGTGGCAAGCTACAAGATTCTCAGGTTTGAGCTTCACTGTTGAGAAAAGTGAAGGAGGCAGGACTCCATTCCTCGATGTTCTTGTTGACGGTAACTCAAGTAAGTGACGGTAATTCTTATTGACGGGAGCCGGTCGGCAGAGCGGACAGCACGCTGGACTTCTGATCCTGTGGTCCCGGGTTCGATCCCGGGCGCCGGAGAGAAACAATGGGCAGAGTTTCTTTCACCCTATGCCCCCTGTTACCTAGCAGTAAAATAGGTACCTGGGTGTTAGTCAGCTGTCACGGGCTGCTTCCTGGGGGGTGGAGACCTGGTCGAGGACCGGGCCGCGGGGACACTAAAGCCCCGAAATCATCTCAAGATAACCTCAAGATAACTCCGGGAGGTTCATCACAGATGTGTATCGTAAACCAACTGATGCAGGAAAATGTGTGAACGGTAAGAGTGAATGCACTGACAGGTATAAGAGAAGCGTCATCAATACTTATGAAGATCGTGCAATACGTAAATGCTCTTCTTGGCAGCTTTTGCACAACGAACTTGATCACATCCGCCAAATTGTTGTGAACAACAATTACAGAAAAACTGAATTCGACGAAATCGTAAGAAGCAAGTCCGCCATCTGACTGAGGATAATCAGGCTCCAGGGGTGGAAAATGGGCCCGCAAGTGAAGACATGGTAGTGTATTATAAAAATACATTTACATAGGCACACAAGAAGGGTGAAAAGGTGATACGAGACATAACTGACAGGAATTGCAAACCTTGCAGTGAAAATGCCAGGATTCGTCCTGTCATTTATTGTAACAACCCTCATACATCTTCCCTCATTATGAGAAAAATAACATCTCTGCCTCCTCTGACTCACTGAGGTGTACTAATGTTGTGTATCAGTACAAATGCAGCTCTGGAGACTGGGCACTCTGAAACATATGCTACACTGGACATACCGTGAATACATTGACTAGACAGACGTCTTACACTTTATTTACAAGAGTGAGGTATTAAGCAGCATCATTCTTCTTTCGCAATATTTCACAGCACAAAACTCCTACTTATGGACCACCCACACGTCAATGGGAGACTATTATATTATTATAATTTTTTTTTTTGAGATATATACAAGAGTTGTTACATTCTTGTACAGCCACAAGTACGCGTAGCGTTTCGGGCAGGTCCTTAATCCTATGGTCCCTGGAATACGATCCCCTGCCGCGAAGAATCGTTTTTTCATCCAAGTACACATTTTACTGTTGCGTTAAACAGAGGCTACAGTTAAGGAATTGCGCCCAGTAAATCCTCCCCGGCCAGGATACGAACCCATGACATAGCGCTCGCGGAACGCCAGGCGAGTGTCTTACCACTACACCACGGAGACTGTAAATTATTTTTACAGAAGACGCATAACGAGGCAATGTTACTAGAGCAGTGTATTGAGGCAGTGTACTGGGGCAGTAAAGAGTATACTAAGGTAGTAAAAATAAATGTAAACCACCTTCAATCTCCCTCACGACCACCTCACTACTACGACCACCTCACTACTCCCCTCACCTGCACCAGCCACCTCCCCAATACTAACAACCAACCAGAGCACGTTCTGCCCGCAGACTCGGGTCCAAGTCAAGGCGTTTAAAAGCTACTTGTAAATTACAACACATGAAAGCGCTCTTAAGTGCGATCAAAATTCATTACAGCGCCCGTAATGGGAGCCAGGGAGGAATGCCTGCGTGCTGGTGTGGAGGGCTGGTGTGGAGGGCTGGGGTGGAGGGCTGGTGTGGAGGGCTGGTGTGGAGGGCTGTTGTGGAGTGGCTGGTGTGGAGGGCTGGTGTGGAGGGCTGGTGTGGAGGGCTGGTGTGGAGGGCTGGTGTGGAGGGCTGGGGTGGAGGGCTGGGGTGGAGGGCTGGGGTGGAGGGCTGGGGTGGAGGGCTGGGGTGGAGGGCTGGTGTGGAGGGCTGGTGTGGAGGGCTGGTGTGGAGGGCTGGGGTGGAGGGCTGGGGTGGAGGGCTGGGGTGGAGGGCTGGTGTGGAGGGCTGGTGTGGAGGGCTGGTGTGGAGGGCTGGTGTGGAGGGCTGGGGTGGAGGGCTGGTGTGGAGGGCTGGTGTGGAGGGCTGGGGTGGAGGGCTGGGGTGGAGGGCTGGGGTGGAGGGCAGCCGGGAGAATGGCGGGGAAGCAGGGCGCCCAGGACGCGTCCTGGGTACTTAACGCTGGCACTGGTTAGTGTTCCATTCTGGGAGTCGTTAACAATGCTTCTTACCCTCTAATGTGGTTGGCACTTGTCAGCGTCCTCCACCACAGGTTCTCGGAGCACAAGCGACGAAGAAAATAGGCGCCAGATTCACGAAGCAGTTACGCAAGTACTGACGAACGGGTACATCTTTCCCTCAATCTTTGACGGCTTTGGTTACCTTTATTAAACAGTTTACAAACATGAAAACTTCCCAATCAACTGCTGTTATTGTTATGAACAGCCTCCTCGTGCTTCGGATCTCATTAACTGTTTAATAATTGTAAACAAAGCTGCCAAAGATTGAGAAAAGCTGAACAGGTTCGTAAGTGCTTGCGTATTTGCTTCATGAATCTGGCCCCAGATTCATTGCACATTTCGTTTCGCTCGATATTACCTCTCACTCCTACTTATCTTACACAAGGGATTCGAACTTGAGCCTCAAAAGTGCGAGACTATTGTCGTACCAATGGATGCTCAAGATAAGGAAGGATCTCTGGAGAGTTGTGTAGTCCAGCCAGAACTACATCTATTTATGAACGTTGTTACGACTAACGGTTCTGATTCAACATCTATATTACTAGGAGGCGCACCCGGCCGTGCCCGGGGTACTCTATCTCTCCACCCCACTCGTTATAAAGCGAAGTGCTTGCTCTGTAGAGTCAATGTTTAAGGCAATGGAGTTCCAACTTGTGGGATTAGGTAAGGCCCGGCCCCTAGGGAAACTATTCCCAGCAAAAAGATAGTAGGCATCCATCAGTCTCAAAAGGCTATGAAGTTGTGCTCTGGTTGTCGGTCTGGAGTGGCCTCTCCAGGGCGCAAAGCCAGGGTAGGTTGATACTGTGGAGAAGCTGTTACCCAAGCAGCAGGGACCCCCCCATCCTCTCCACGGCGCCGAATGTCTCCAATGGAAAGCCAAATAAATGGTCTGTTGTCTAGAGTGATTTCCTAACTCCCGAGACAGTGAAAGTTATGGAACATTACAATCAACAATTAACTTAATATAATATTTATTAACCGCAATCCCCGCCAAGTACAATAAAGTCCTTACCACCTCGACCTTATGCTGATTCCCTGAATCCACATAAGCAGGAGACGAGGGTTACAACAAGCAAACTAGCCTGACAGATGAGTGGACAGCGCTTGTGAATCGTAGTCCTGAGAGTTCCGGGTTCGATCCCCGATGGAGGCAGAAACAATTGGGCAGAGTTTCTTTCACCCTGATGCAACTGTTCACCTAGCAGTAAATAGGTACCTGGGAGTTAGACAGGTGCTACGGGCTGCTTCCTGGGGATGTATAACAAAATGGAGGCCTGGTCGAGGACCGGGCCGCGGGGACGCTAAGCCCCGAAATCATCTCAAGATAACGTAACCTCTCTTTTTTTTGCCCATCTTTCCAAGTACTCCCCATCTTCACTCACTCTTTCTCCCCCCCCCCTTCTGCTCCCCCTCCCCTATCCCCTTAATCTCCCCCTCTTCCTTATCATTTCCACCATTCCCCCCTCCCCTTTTCCTATTACCCTCTCTCCCTCGTCACCCCATCTCCATACCCCTTCCCCCCCCCATCAAACAGATAGACATTTCCATTTATATATTAAGTAAATCATGAAAAATTAGCAGGTAAACGGCATGAGAAACTTCTTAACACTCCGGCCAACCCATAACCTAATTCCCGAACTCGCGAGAATCACACGGGAGGTTGTTGGGTTACAGACTACTCTAAAATCACCTAACTCAGGCCTACCCCCAACCAGCCTATGTTCGTCCCATACCGCAGACCCTTCATCTTTCAAATTTTGGGTGAGGCTATAGCTCCAAGCGCCTGGCCCCTCTAATACTACCCTTCATCCCTCGACAGGAGACGAGCGAGGTGGTAAGAGAGCTGCTGGAGAGGACAAGGCTCCCTTTCACTCACCTCTGCGCCTCTACGCCTCTAGAGTACAGGAATAAGACGATGCTCGGACGAGGAGTGTTCAACAGGTGAGAGTTGCTCGGACGAGGAGTGTTCAACAGGTGAGAGTTGCTCGGACGAGGAGTGTTCAACAGGTGAGAGTTGCTCGGACGAGGAGTGTTCAACAGGTGAGAGTTGCTCGGACAAGGAGTGTTCAACAGGTGAGAGTTTGCTCCCTGCAAGTCGGGGAAATAATAATTTGCAGATGGACAAAATATGCATTTTCAGGGAAATTGAAAAGATGTGGCATGTGTATAAGATATTAATTTGCAAGATGGAAAAAGATAGATTTTGCGGTGGGCAAAATAACAAGGCAACACACTTACCCATTCTGGACACACAGGCGCGAAACACCAGGCTACATAGTCACCCCACCAACTAACACACCCACCACCCCACCAAGCAACACACCCACCACCCCACCAAGCAACACACCCACCACCCCACCAAGCAACACACCCACCACCCCACCAAGCAACACACCCACCACCCCACCAAGCAACACACCCACCACCCCACCAAGCAACACACCCACCACCCCACCAAGCAACACACCCACCACCCCACCAAGCAACACACCCACCACCCCACCAAGCAACACACCCACCACCCCATCAAGCAACACACCCCACCACCCCACCAAGCAACACACCCACCACCCCATCAAGCAACACACCCCACCACCCCACCAAGCAACACACCCACCACCCCATCAAGCAACACACCCCACCACCCCATCAAGCAACACACCCACCACCCCATCAAGCAACACACCCCACCACCCCATCAAGCAACACACCCCACCACCCCATCAAGCAACACACCCACCACCCCATCAAGCAACACACCCACCCCACCAAGCAACACACCCCACCACCAAGGGAGCCGGTCGGCCGAGCGGACAGCACGCTGGACTTGCGATCCTGTGGTCCTGGGTTCGATCCCAGGGGCCGGCGAGAAACAATGGATAGAGTTTCTTTCACCCTATGCCCCTGTTACCTAGCAGTAAAATAGGTACATGGGTGTTAGTCAGCTGTAACGGGCTGCTTCCTGGGGGTGGAGGCCTACCTTGAGGCTACCTTGAGGTGCTTCCGGGGCTTAGTGTCCCCGCGGCCCGGTCGTCAACCAGGCCTCCTGGTTGCTGGACTGATCAACCAGGCTGTTAGACGCGGCTGCTCGCAGCCTGACGTATGAGTCACAGCCTGGTTGATCAGGTATCCTTTGGAGGTGCTTATCCAGTTCTCTCTTGAACACTGTGAGGGGTTTGCCAGTTATGCCCCTTATGTGTAGTGGAAGCGTGTTGAACAGTCTCGGGCCTCTGATGTTGATAGAGTTCTCTCTCAGAGTACCTGTTGCACCTCTGCTTTTCAACGGGGGTATTCTGCACATCCTGCCATGTCTTCTGGTCTCATGTGGTGTTATTTCCTGGTCGAGGACCGGGCCGCGGGGACACTAAAGCCCCGAAATCATCTCAAGATAACCCCAGTAACCCCACCAAGCAACACACCCACCCCATCAAGCAACACACCCATCCCAATAAACAACACACCCACCCCACCAAGCAACACACCCACCCCACCAAGCAACACACCCACCTCACCAAGCAACACACCCACCCCACCAAGCAACACACCCACCCCACCAAGCAACACACCCACCTCACCAAGCAACACACCCACCCCACCAAGCAACACACCCACCACCCCACCAAGCAACACACCCACCCCACCAAGCAACACACCCACCCCACCAAGCAACACACCCACCACCCCACCAAGCTAGGTATCACAAGAGTGTGCAAACAGTCACCAGAGGAGCTCCGTAACCCTCAGCCTCAGGACCTTCAGTATTCACTCAACACCTCCATGATTAAGGGTTCAGGGTGTACATCAACATTTGGTAATTTGCCAGAACACTACAATACGACAAGTAATACATTCAAACAATGACGCAGAAACATCGCAGGGGGATTTAAACAGACTTTTAAATAGACTGAAAATTTATGGACGCAATTTTATACCGACTCTTGTAGGATTGTAAAATCAAGCCCTTCCCCCCCCCAAAAAAAAGGTAATAATTTAAAAAAAAATCATTAAAATGATAGCACCATCACTTATATAAATGAGGCTCAGGAATCTGTACACCAGTTGCTTGACGGTTGAGAGGCGGGACCAAAGAGCCAAAGCTCAACCCCCGCAAGTACAAATAGGTGAGTACCAATAATTGCCAATGGAAGAAATGTACAAATGATCGACTGTATGTTGCATAAAAAAAAATCACGCTTTTTCTTAGAGAAAATCTGAAGGTCAGAGTAGTATTAGTAGGCATCCGTCAGTTTCAGGAGACTATGGAGTTGCGCTCTGGAGTGGCCTCTCCAGAGCGCAAAGCCAGGGTAGGTTGATACTGTGGAGAAGCTGTTATCCATGCAGCAAGTCATCCCCTTCTCCACGACGCCGAAAGTCTCCAATGGAAAGGCAAACGCCAATACGATTGATTCCAGAGCCGTCGCTGGAACTGTCAGAACGCTGTTGAAGGCAACAACGAACTGCCCTAGAGACTCCAGCTCCGGAGTTGACCTCGAAGTCGGTGAAAGAAGGCACAGGGACTCCAAACCCGGAGACCGCCGTGGTCGGGGCCGGAGAAGAACCACCCCAGCAAGGGCAGGAACGACCCCAGCCTCCTGAAGCAGAGCCTGGGGGCCGCACGAGCCCCAGGAGGTGGACGTCCCGGTCCCGCACCAACGGGTCCCAGACAGAGATCGTCACAGCCCTCTTTCACCCGAGGCCGGCTTCCTTCAAGACCAAGCAGAAGGAAGAGTGATAATTATTAAATACAACAATTATTATAGTAATAATTATTATAGTAATAATATAATTCATTAATAATTATCAAGGGTTGGCAGCTATAGCTGCAATAATTTTAATGGAATTGCTTTTTAATTATTTTCCTTTTTTTTTTGGGGGGGGGCTTGGTTTTACAATCCTACAAGAGTCGGTATGAAATTGCGTCCATAAACATTCATAAGGTGAAACAAAGTGATCTGAATCTCCAGCTAACCTGTCACAGGGCTAAATAAGGAATCCAAGACCTAAAATTCGCAAGATTAAGCATAATAATTCAGTACCCTAAAGACGTACCATAATACGTCTAGGGAACGTTAGATTTAGTTTCTTACCTCCCCTCCCGGCCCTCTACAAAATGTATTAAAAAACGTTAAACTTTCTTTGGATGTCAAAAAAGTCACATTTTTGACCGGTTGACAGAAAAGAAAACAGGTACCACATAACAGCCGAACAACTGTGAAATTCTGAAACAGAATTGTTTAAAAAGCTCTAACATAAAGACGGTGATCAATCAAGGTTCAAAATTTGGCATATAAAAATGATCAAAACTGGTAATAAAAGTAATAGCGAAAAGATTTGACAATAAAACTAATTAAGATAATTATGAGGAGAAAGCCTCAAGCAGATAAGACTATATTGCCATCAGGAGGGACAAGAATCTGGGATATAAGGACTAGAGGCTGGGATATGAGGACAAGGATCTGAGGAAATGAGGACAAGAAGCTGGAATATGAGGACAAGGATCTGGGATATGAGGACGAGGGCTGGGATATAAGGACAATGAGATGGGATATGAGGACAAGGAGCTGGAATATGAGGACAAGAGCTGGGATACGAGGAAAAAAGCTTTGAAATGAGGAAAAAAAGCTGTGAAATGAGGACAAAAAGCTGGCATATGAGGATAAGGAGATAGGATGAGAACAAGCCGATAGAATCTTAGTAATACAAAAATTAAAAAAAATATGGAAAATCTAATATTTTCTTTATAATTTATCATGCCCTTCTAAGAGTCTTTCTTAAATTATGAAATATAGTTTTGAGCACCGAATTATACAATGAATGAAAATGTATTAAGGATTATGTATAGTGTTAACAAAATATTAACCTAATTTAGAATATGAAATCATCAATTTAAATATAATGTCTGGGTTTTGAAAATTAGATTTATTATTTTCCTAAGTTTCTATCCATGACCCCTGGTTCTATTCGTATACACTATAAACAGTCACTGTCAATCCAGAAAAAGTATTTTATATGCTCCAAACACGGCGTCATATTTAGCGCAAGGCTGCGTCTTCCACCTCCAGGACGTAGGCTTCTAACTCGACGTCATATTTAGCGCAAGGCTGCGTCTTCCACCTCCAGGACGTAGGCTTCTAACACGACGTCATATTTAGCGCAAGGCTGCGTCTTCCACCTCCAGGACGTAGGCTTCTAACACGACGTCATATTTAGCGCAAGGCTGCGTCTTCCACCTCCAGGACGTAGGCTTCTAACACGACGTCATATTTAACGCAAGGCTGCGTCTTCCACCTCCAGGACGCAGGCTTCTAACACGACGTCATATTTAGCGCAAGGCTGCGTCTTCCACCTCCAGGACGCAGTCTTCTAACACGACGTCATATTTAGCGCAAGGCTGCGTCTTCCACCTCTAGGACACAGGCTCCTAACACGACGTCATATTTAGCGCAAGGCTGCGTCTTCCACCTCTAGGACACAGGCTCCTAACACGACGTCATATTTAGCGCAAGGCTGCGTCTTCCACCTCCAGGACGTAGGCTTCTAACACGACGTCATATTTAGCGCAAGGCTGCGTCTTCCACCTCCAGGACGCAGTCTTCTAACACGACGTCATATTTAGCGCAAGGCTGCGTCTTCCACCTCTAGGACACAGGCTCCTAACACGACGTCATATTTAGCGCAAGGCTGCGTCTTCCACCTCCAGGACGCAGGCTCCTAACACGTCATATTTAGCGCAAGGCTGCGTCTTCCACCTCCAGGACGCAGGCTCCTAACACGACGTCATAGTTAGCGCAAGGCTGCGTCTTCCACCTCCAGGACGCAGGCTCCTAACACGTCATATTTAGCGCAAGGCTGCGTCTTCCACCTCCAGGACGCAGGCTCCTAACACGACGTCATATTTAGCGCAAGGCTATGTCTTCCACCTCCAGGACGCAGGCTCCTAA